CAGCGAGCCCTGCAGCCCGGCTGGGATTTTAATTAACGAACAGTTTCTGGGATGGAGCCATCTGTAGGCTACAGCTGAATTCTCCTAATTCACGTGTCTACAGAGTGGGCCCACTGAGCCTGGGTGGGGTAGCAGAGAAAGAAAATCCTAGATGAAAGTGTCAAATTTACAAGAACAAAACCAGAAATTTCCTGAAATTAAAGACACAAAAATCTAAATCACTCTGCTGTTTCCTTCTGAATACGCCCAATGTACAGCAAAGTGTCTGAGGTGCATGATAGTGATTGTGGGCTAAACTCACGAGTATTTCCTCACTGCTAAATCTGACTTTGAAGTCGTGTGTGTGTATTTCCTCACTGCTAAATCTGACTTTGAAGTCGTGTGTGTGTGACGTTGCAAGGTGAAGAGATGTGGTTGCTTGAAAAATAAAACACTGAGTGTTTCTCTCAAATGTATGAACACAATGTCAGAATATTCAAGTTTTAAGCTGTAGATTTGTGATTATTAGTTTCTTGTAAATCTACCACGGTAATCTTGGAAATTCTTTCCCCCTCTCCCTGGCTCTTTATTTTTTATTATATGTGCAGTTCTTTTACTACAAATACATTAGAGATTAGTGTAAAATAAGAACACCAATGATAATTACAAATTTACTCCACGCGATGACAACAAGCCTCCCCGCCTCTGTCGGCTGCCACAATATCACATTTAGCCATCAACGCGTCACATCCTGACTCTGTCCGTTGTAAAGGAAGACCTCTGTTTCTGAGAAATGTGGGAGGGTTCCTGGCTGTTATGATCACTGTAGTTCCTCTTTCACTTTGGACGACCAGTAAATATCAGCCAGCCGACAGCATCAGTCTCACTTCACAGCTCGGTCCTGGTCTCAGTCGGATCACTGAGGAAGATCAACCAGAGACTCTGAGGCTCCACAGCAGGTAGGACGTTCTGCTCACTGAGAGGCTGTCCAGCAGCAAGACGGACTCATGAGCTTCATTTTCATCAGTTCACCCCTGATCCTCCTCCTTCCTGCTGCTGCACTCAGCTCTGGATGGAAACCTTTCAGACACTAACACATTACATTTACTCTGGTAAATGACTCTGGTCTTAGTCTGTTTTATTTTAACAGCGAAAACAGACTGAGACCAGAGTCTCTTTTCAGGCTGTGCCCTGTGTACACAAGTTAACATGTAGAGTAGTCACACAAACAAGTGAATTTATAAAAAGTACTTAGAACATACAAAACGTAATCAAAATATACAAGAGCAGGAAGTACAATTCAATGAAAGCAATTGCAAACAACTTAATGATTCTCCATAAAATTTCAAAACTGGGTAAGCAACACCAGACTGTTTGGTCTGCAGTCCTACCCAACTCCATGGAGACTGTTGGGGTCTGTAAGGTATCAACATCTTTGATCTTGTGTTTATGTTTATATCCCTAGTGGAAATTAGTCATGATATACAGAGAGAGGTCCATCCTACGTGTTATATAAAATACAATGTGTGTTCTCTAACAGTCACTGGAGATATGCTTGAGTGCACTGTGGTAATTAACATCCAGTGGTTTTACTGTGGTAGCTGGAGCATGCATGTAGAAAATAGACTGACATAAAACTAGTGTAAAACTGCGGGGGAACTCCAGAGTTGTCAATTACTAAGCTTGTCTATCAAACACGAGAGGGGTCACTTGGTCTTATTTTCGTTGGCCAACTTTTGAATTGAACCTCAGTATTTTTTGAGGTTTTTTATGAGATGGACTCCCAGGAGATTTGACCTGAGATAAGGACTCATTAACTGGTGGTTGAACTGTGGGTTTTGTATTGAACACTTACTGTATAATACAGTTCACACTGGTAAACTTTGTTTTTCTTGTGGTCTGTAGGTAGTGTCACAACCTGGCTCAAGGGTCATGACAAAAGAGGGAACGAGGCAGCATAAATGATCAAAAGTAATGTTTAGTTCACTCTTTTGTTAAATAAATCACAAAGTCCCAAAAGCTCGCAGACAGTATTGCAGATAAGTTATTAATTGGACGCTGCAGCTGACCAGACTGATCTGATACATCATGACATTCACGTTTCATACCCGAGTGAGGCAGATAACATTAAACTCAAGTGTTTAACTGCCACGTTTTATATTTAGAAAAAAAAAATGTATTTTTTGAAAATTAAACCATGTAAACCTGTTCTGGTACAAGCTCTAAATAGGATTATGAAACTGAAAATGAGCAGAATACCACCTCTTTAATAGTTTGGTGCTTGCACTCCAGATCCTTCAGGTTCAAATCCTGCACTGGCCATGTTGAAATGGAGCAAACCTTAACAATTATGTTTTAACTGAGTAACACTGTGGCATATGATTATTTTACCTGTGTGCAGCGCGAAAGGAGTAGCGGTAGCAGCCACAGCTAACAGCTCTCACGTGCACTTTCATAAATTTTATTATTAACCAAAAAGCTAATATAATTTAGGATATTTAATGAGCCTGGATTTGGTAATTGACTTTAAATCTTTCCTTGTGAACAGTGGTGCCAGCAGGAGAATTCAACTCTAAGTTATACTATTATTATTAAATAATAATAAAATAACTTATTAACATTAAGTCTGAACAGTCCGTCTCCTGCTCCGTCTCCCTCTGCAGGTTCAAGACATCATGGGAAACCGTCAGTGCACTGTTGAGATTGAGAATAATTCTCAATACAACTTCTGTAACCCGCAGTGAGTCTGCTTTGTTTGTCTCTGGATGTCTTTAAACCTTTGTTAGCTCTATGAAAAGGGAAACATGCAGCTGATATCAGTCCTCTCATATAAACATTTAACGGTTTCCACCTGCTTCCAGTGTTTGTGCGAAGCTAGGCTAAGATACATGCTGGACTGATCTTAGTTCTTAATTCTGTAAAATGAATCTGATATCAATTTGAAACTTTGCCTTTCAGTTTCATAGTCTTGAAGGCTCATACCTGTCTGTCTCCCCAGTGTGTACACGCTCAGTGGATACCATAAGGATTTGCCACTAACTATTGGTCCCTCTGAATCTCGCTGCGGTCAGTTCCTCAAGACGTCTGGTACAGCACGTGGAGCTGTTGGAGTCTTCACTTACGATCTACAGATTAAATCTACAGAAAGAGATGTTGGAAAAATGGCAGTCATGTTCTCCGTTCCTTATGACTACAACATCTACTCTAACTGGTACGCAGTGGGAGTCTTTGATATGAGGATTAAGTGTGATCACAGCCTGTTTAACGACATGTATTACAACCCAGAAAGAGGGTTTTTCAGAGCTAAAGCTAAAGACAGTCTGACTTACAGAAGCAAAGCAGTTACCATCAGAGCCACCATGTCAGACAGTTGCAAACCTGTCATCAAGATCCAGGTGTCTCCAGGTTCTAAGCAACATAATTCCTACATGGCAGAAAGTTATATTCACTTTCATTCTCGCACTTTTCGTTTTCAACATTAGTTTGTTTTACATCTGCTGTCTGTTTAAGTGCAACTGCATTTTTCCCCCTTGTTTTGTAAAACAGAATGTTTTATATTTTAGCACAGCATGTTTCCAGTTTTTTAGTTTTCAAATGGAACAACACAAGCAGAAATATTTGGCTAATTATCAGCATTTTTTTTTCTGCAATAAGAGGTGGCTGTTCTGAATCACTCTGAAACGCCCACAGAAGACGATCCACAAATGATCCACAAATATTTCACTGTCCACAAATATGTATATTTACATTTGTGTAATGTCCACAAAAATACAGTGACGTGTTCACACAAAACAGTTTTTGCTCATTGTTGATGACTTCCTGACAATTTGTGGGTCACGTTCCATTTGTGACTTCCCTTTTACACATTTGTTGAATTTTGTGTGTCACAGAAACATAAAATGTCTGTGGCACTGTATCATGTACAGACTTACCAAAAGGCATCTGAGCGATGCCCAACGCCGAACAGGAAGTTGTTGTAACTTCAGTGTTCAAATTTAATATGTTTGTGATCTGATGAGCTTTTTATCAGCAGGGCAGGCCTGCAAAATAAAGATGTAAATGTTTTGCAACATTTCAAACAAACATTTATTTCTATAGCGCTTTACAACAACCGGTATCCAAAGTGCTTCACATCATAGAATAATAAAACAGAAAAGTTAAAAAGAAACAAGAAAAACGAAATTGTCACACCACTACAGCGTATTAAAAGCCGTTCTAAACAGGTGGGTTTTAAGTTTAGACCTAAAAATAGTTTCATCTGCAATTGTGCAAATATAAGGGGGTAGCTTGTTCCAGAGTCTCGGAGCAGCAACTCCAAACGCCTGATCACCCCATCGCTTATACTTCGACCTTGGGACTTCTAAAACCAATTGGTTTGAAGACCGTAACGACCGTCTGTGCTCACGCAGGGTTAAAATTTCAGTTCAGTACTCCGGGGCCAGGCCATTTAGGGCCTTAAAAACGAATAGCAAAATCTTAAAATTTATTCTATACTGCACTGGGAGCCAATGTAAAATGTAAAGGACGGGAGTAATGTGAGCATGCCTAGATGTATTTGTTAAAAACCGAGCAGCAGCATTTTGCACAAGTTGCACTGTGTCACACTGGAAAAAACTCATTGACAACATTTCTGATTTGCATGTCAAATTTCATGTTGCAATCAAAAGTAACCCCCAAATTTCTGACAGCAGGCTTAAGGTATGGAGCCAGAGCCCCCAAATTCACCGCTGAACCATCTGGGTTAGTGAAGATGATACACTCAGTTTTTGCTTTGTTTAAATTAAGAAAATTTTGTGACAACCACAACTTAATATCATTAATACAATACATAAGTAGGGAGCCTAGTGCGACACTAACATTCGGTTTTAAAGGCAAATAAATCTGCAAATCATCGGAATAACAGTGAAAGGACAGGTTGTGCTTTCCTATAATACTTCCTAACGGCAACATATAAAGAAAACAAGATTGGGCCAAGAATTGAACCCTGGGGTACCCCACAAGAAGGAGGAGCAGCTGACGAAGAGCATTCACCAATCATAACAGAGAAGATCCTATTTGCTAAATAGGAGCTAAACCATTGAAGAGCCAAACCACGAATGCCTACATCATGCTCAAGGCGAGAGAGAAGAACTGCGTGGTCCACCAAAAGCACTAAAACAGCAGGATTCCCAGCATCCACAGACAAGGCAATGTCATTGTGTACTCTGAGCAGTGCAGACGTGATCTAAAACCGTGATCCAAATATCACAGAATTTTTCTGCATAAAGGCTTGTAGCTGTATAAAGACAACTTTTTCCAAGACCTTTGACAGAAAAGGCAGATGAGAAACTGGTCTAAAATTAAATAACACTGAAGGGTCAAGATTTGGTGTCTTAAGTAGGGGCCTGATCACAGCATGTTTAAATGCAGCTGGCACACAACCTAGACTAAGACAAGAAGTAATTAACGTGAGTAGACTCGACCCAATGGCGCTATTAAAAACTTCCTTCACTATCCTGGCTGGGACAATGTCTAACAGAGCGGAGGTGGGTTTCATGTGTTGCGCTACCTCAGAAAGCAGCGCAACATTTGGTAAATAACGGTCACAACAAAGTCTGGGTAAATTGCAATGGGTTTCAGAACAAGTGATATCTTTGGGACGTGATCAGTAGAGGGCAAATCAATCCATCCCAAAAAGAGCTGAAACCATTGCGAATGTTTGAGAGATTTATTGTAGTCTGTGTTTTACTCAGACTTGGTGTCTGTCTGCCTGTACCCTGTTTGCTTAATTCATTGATGTGTCGCACCTGGGGCCTGAGTTCAACATACCCAGGATATGTTTGTTATCAATAACCCTAACTATCGCGATAAGCGGTACCACGAAGCTGGTTATGAACTCGGTAAACCCAGGGTTTCCCGATCCAGCCGGGAGGGCGTTCACATAAGAGGCGGAGTTAGCAGCAGATGACCAATCACAGACATGAACAAGTCCACTGACAGCAGAACGTCATTTTATGAACGAGGATTAAACTGTAACACTACAGAAATACGACAGTAGCACGTCTGCAGCTGACACACGCAGAGAGAGAAAATCACAGACAGTGTGAATGCCTACATGAACAGGTGTAGTCTAAAATATTTTGTTGATTTAAAGTGTTCTCATGAGCTGTGTGAAAATATCAGCCTTATTCTTTCAGCTCGGCTGTGTTTCCACATTAAAAGACTCGGGTCGTTCTCCCTCACTTTAAAAAAACAAACAAAAACTTGTGGTCACTTCAAAAATTAGATTAATTTATTTAACACACTCAAGTGTCCGAACATTGTTCTAAATTAACTTCATAAAGCATTGAAATGAAAAATAGTGGTTGAAAGACTGAATCTCAACATTTAGGCTGCTGAAACTCACCGTCCCGCCTTTTGAGCCCACATCGCAAAGCTGGGGCGGAACTTGACTACAGTCTCTGTAGAAAGCTATACTAACCTAGATAAATAGCCTACATTCATATTAAAATTCAGTATCCCTACCAAACTGCTCATAATATTCAGCCTTACATAAGAAAAATAAAACCTATTTATTTTAACGGCTGCGTCAGTCTGTGTGAAACAAACTGGGAGCAAATAAAAAAATATTCAACACATTTCAAAGCAGTAAGTGGGCTGATCCTGCTGTAAAAACCTGTAGGCAACAATAGCCTGAGGCTTTTAATCAGTCTCTGTAGGATTATATCGCTATAGTCAAGAGTTTCTCCACATCACCGCTGCAAACATAAAGCAGCCTGTTGGATAAAACAGTCTGTGGGATTTTCCTACAGATGCTGAGGTCATTTTCCAAGAGAGCTCACTGGTCAGTAGGCGTTTCTCACAGAGTTGATCTCTTATCTGGAACAGAACGGTTAGCCGTTCAGCATAAGTTACCATAGAGATCTACCCCGGTAAGAAGTGAACCACCGTCGTGGTGCTGAAAACTCTGAAGTTACCTAGATAAGCTCAAATCCTGCTTTGTGGTACAGGCCCCAGGTTTCCGTTTCTCCTCGCGTGGTTGATCCTGTGTTTAACCCGTTCGAGTGTGGTACTGCTGGGATATTTGTTGCATTTAAGCCTGCTTTTATATTTTGGTTTCTTTATGGAATTATCTGTTTGGAGTTCACCTCAGCTTTTGGATTTGTGTAGACTCAGACACTCTCAGTAAGTGTGCTTGCTTTGTATTCAATCAATTTTGAGAACTGAACCTGCCTGTTCCTGTATCTGATCCTGAACTTGTTTTTTTCAACACAAGATCCAAAATGATGCTTGACAGCCAAGAATGTAGTGATTTGAACAGAAGAAGCTGAGAAATAATCCTCATATTAAAACAAAAACAGATCTTTCTACAGGAAATGAAGAGCGGAAATGGCTTCCCTCAAAGCAGCTCAACAGGAAGTATCTGCACACTAATGCAGGTAGAGACAGACGCCTCTTTCACTACAGGCTGTGCCACAGTTTGCCACACCAGATGACTGTAAGCCTGCATGGCAACAAGCTGGCTGTAACTTCACAGATGGTGTATGGACTGTTCCTAATGATAAACCTGCCCAGACATTTTATCCCACGCTAGGCAAAGTTGAAACATGGGTTAGACCACAAGTCAAGAGGGATGATGATCATTGGTTCACAAAGGGATTCACAACATACACTCAAAAGGTTTGTCAAACATGCTCAATATGCCTGACACACAACAAGGAGAGAAAAAAAACCTTCAATGATGCAGTTTCTGCCTTTTCTGCTTCAATGTATGGCGATCGTCTTTATGAATATAAAGAGCAAGGTTGAAATTCTACCATCTGAGCTCAGCGCGAGAGCGGGTCCACTTGATTACGGTCACGACGTACGCACCAAGTCGACATTATGGATCGGTGGTGGCGTGACAGCGTGCGAGTCACACGCTCAATCCCTGAGAGTTGGTATGGGTTGACGGACAAGGATAGAAGCAGCAAGAAAAGTTAGGATGTTGAAATACCTGACATGAAACCAGGTGATGACTGCACTGATGATTGGGATAATGAAAACCTGCTGCTCACTACTTATTAGAAATTTCTGTGTTCTACTAAAACAGCAACAGCTTTTCTGCCATTACAATAACTTATGTGTTTTGTAATGCTGTATATACTTTAGTGATTAAAGAATTATCAAAAGGGAGGAGTGTAATGTCAAGCAACAACTATGTCCCATTTTAATGTGTTTGTTACTCTTATATAATGTTGCACTTGCTATAGTATAAGAATTTACTGCCATTTGCCTCATTTAATCATGAGTTCATAGCTTCTTATTCCAGTGTTGATCATTTGTGTCTCTCTGTTCCGTTAAGTTGGAAGGCATCAGGGAAGATCAGGGGTTTAGGGCCCAAATGCAGACACTGAAGTGGATCTGGTAACAAGTGAAACTGCAGTGAAGGTGGCTGATCAACCAAAACACACCAGCAAACAGAAACCGAAAACAGAAATCCAAAAACATCCAGATGAGAACAAAGGTAAGAAACACGAAGTGAAGGCAGTCTAATATTGACCGAGCAATCAACAGGAGAGACTGGAGGGAAGCCAACAATGACGCAGCGCTGGGTGAAGGGAGCGACACCACTTAAATACAACAGGAGGGGAGAACCTAATGACGCACAGGTGGAACCACTAGACAATCAGTGAGGACACCAACAGCGGCAGGAAAACTACCAAGTGAAACAGGAAACAAGAAACACAGAACCAAACCGAACCAGAACCGTGACATCTCAGATACTGTCCATCAACATCACTGGGCTGGTTCTGCTCTGGTCCTGCTGACTACACTAGTGGACTGGCCATTGGGAGCACCGGGAGATTTCACAGTGGCCTGTCAGCCTGAGCAGAGGCAGCGATAATATAGCAAACAGGAGAATCTGTGTATCCACCGAGTCCACGTCTCTCTTTCTCTGCCAAATATGTGTTTATTTTTGTTTGCTTGCTTTCTGGACACCAGAGAGTGAACACTGGAATCAACAGGTTTATTGTAGGCTATAGGTGAGCTTTTACGACTTTTTACTTACTTTTATTGTTAATGTTTATGATGATTGAAGCTGGAACGTTTGAGCAAACTGTATTTCTCAGTCTCGTTTTTAAAAGTGTTGTCAAATGTTTTTTTTGTGTCTAGCCTTGTATATTTCTATGTGCTATGACTGGTTTACATTATTTCTCGGGAGTTATTGAGGATGCACCCAGAGCCCTAGCATACCTTGAAAACTCAGTGTTCAGACACTTGTTGGTCAGTCCCAGATGTTTGTATTTTCTTCACAGATGAACATTGTGGAAATCTAGACCTAGTTTGGTACCTGTTACAGCAACAGATAGGGTTAGTCCACAAATTAAACAGTCTGGTGGGTTTTATAATTCCCGTGCCGGTGCGCCTTTCAGACCCCTTCAGGTGCTCAGATTGTTTCTTGTCTCTCTCATTCCTCTTTTTATATGATAGATACACAAGAGGTTTGTTTACAGACGGTTCGTGTGCTTTAAGATTGCTGGGGGGTGACAGCACTTGTTTCCACTTCCTGTCTGAAGCACCTTGTAATTCTGCTATTCAGCCTACTGAACAATAAAAAGAGCTTGTGTAGACGCAATACTTCATCTCACATCCTGCAGACTGTTCTGCACTCTGGATCTCGTCTGATCATTCTGAATCAAACATTAAAAGGACATTCTGATTGGACTTGTCCAGAACTTTTGTTCCCCCCTGGTTCTAGCGTACTGCGCTCACCCTTAGTTAAGGCTCTGGTCCTCCTTCCTACCCCCAGACCCTCTTCTTCATTTGTCCCCTCTGTTTAAACTAAACCAGTGTTCTTGCTTTCCAGGAAATTTACCCCATAAAAGTTCTACAATGCAAACAGTATCTGAGTTAACACACAGTTTATGAAGGGACACATTCCCAGATAGCAGGTTAGGTTTGATGACTCGGCTGTTCATTTATAATGCTAAAATTGTGAGTTTGGCTGCTGAACTTTTTAAACAATTCCTGAGGAATGGGGAGTGATGACCCCAACCTCTGCAGTGGACTTTAGTATTGGGCATGGAGGGGGCATCAGTAAAGGAAGAGATAAGAGATACAAGTAACAACATTTAAGACCTATTAACGCATTCGGCATCCATGGTTTAAATACCTAGGGGAAGTAATTAGAGTTAACAAATCAAGTTGTGCATGTTAGAGGTTAGGGGGTGGAGGTACTGTAAGAAGTGTTCTCTGAAGAGATGGGACGTCCCTGCTCTGACTGCATGCAATAGCTCGTTCTAATGGAAATGTGGGAGGGTTCCTGACTGTAGTTCCTCTTTCACTTTGGACGACCAGTAAATATCAGCCAGCCGACAGCATCAGTCTCTCTTCACAGCTCGGTCCTGGTCTCAGTCGGATCACTGAGGAAGATCAACAAGAGACTCTGAGGCTCCACAGCAGGTAGGACGTTCTGCTCACTGAGAGGCTGTCCAGCAGCAAGACGGACTCATGAGCTTCATCTTCATCAGTTCACCCCTGATCCTCCTCCTTCCTGCTGCTGCACTCAGCTCTGGATGGAAACCTTTCAGACACTAACACATTACATTTACTCTGGTAAATGACTCTGGTCTTAGTCTGTTTTATTTTAACAGCGAAAACAGACTGAGACCAGAGTCTCTTTTCAGGCTGTGCCCTGTGTACACAAGTTAACATGTAGAGTAGTCACACAAACAAGTGAATTTATAAAAAGTACTTAGAACATACAAAACGTAATCAAAATATATAAGAGCAGGAAGTACAATTCAATGAAAGCAATTGCAAACAACTTAATGATTCTCATAACATTTCTAAACTGGGTAAGCAACACCAGACTGTTTGGTCTGCAGTTTGTTCCATAATAATGGAGCGAAGGAACTGAATCAGAATCACTTTATTGATCCCCGAGGGGAAATTCACAATTGCACTTGTCAAAGGTAGATAGATAAAGAGTATATAAATATAATAGTATAAATATAAAACAAAAACAAAGACAAATATAAAGGTGTGTGGGTATGTACAATATTTACATTATTAAGAATTATTATGGTGAACCAAAAAGGACAAGTGAATAAATAGCAGCAGAGAATATTGCACATTAATTATTAAACAGGTAATATTGGACAGAAAATAGATAATGAAAGCAGTTCTACCCAACTCCATGGAGACTGTTGGGGTCTGTAAGGTATCAACATCTTTGATCTTGTGTTTATGTTTATATCCCTAGTGGAAATTAGTCATGATATACAGAGAGAGGTCCATCCCACATGTTATATAAAATACAATGATGTGTTCTGTAACAGTCACCAGTGATAAGCTTGAGTGCACTGTGGTAATTAGCATCCAGTGGTTTGTATGTAGATAATATCCCCAAAGTCTAAGACTGACATAAAACTAATTTCTGTTTGCAGATGACACTGTTTCTATAAAGGGAGCCTAACTTGACTTTTAACTTTTTTCACAATTCAGTAACGTGTTTAAAAAAGAAACCATCTAACCATATCCTGAGGTATTTCTATGGAGAGATCTGTTTAATTTTGTTACATTCCATGGTGGTAAAAACCCATGTGCAACTAACTGGCAGTCTGGACCTAGAGCAAAACACAAAATTAGTTTTCTTAGCAGTCAAGTTTACGTGAACACGTTTGAGCTGTAAAAGAGAATCCAGACCCCAGCTTCTCAAAGGCTTGGTCTGCTGAAGGAGCAGTAGAATATTGTAGGTTATGTGAAATGTGTCATTTGTGCAATATGTAGGCTATTAGAGCTGTGCAACATCTCATCCCTTACAGCAGGTAATGCAGCTGACAGGGTTGTTCCATCAAAAACTGCCATTGGAAGAAGAAGTTAATATGCTTACTATATAGGTACCTGTCTAATGTATATGAGAGCATGTGTTGTGTTGCATGAGTTAAATGAGTAAAGAGTCCAAAACAAAGATTTATCTTATCTTAATACATCACTGTGTCATCAGCATAAAAGTGGAATTTACAGTACCTGTTGCATATATTATTTATATAAAAGTGAAAACAAAAGTGCACCCACTATTGATCCCTGTGGTACCCCTTTTTGTAACTCTAAGGACTCCTACATCATGCAGTCCACAAAAATGGCCTTAGCTCTATTTTTAAGATAGTCATAGAACCATCAGTAGACTTCTGCGCCCTGTCCTATAGATAAGAGCTACTCAGGAGGATAGCATGGCCAACTGTGCACTTGTGCTTTTAAATATCTGTAATTACTTTATTTCAGTATGTGGAATATTGCCAGCTGAACTTCATAGAATCTGTACACATAAATGTTCACATATAGTTTAAAATCAGTTTAGTATCTGAGGACAGGAGACTAGCCATAATAGAAGGAAATTTCATATGTGTGCACGGGCAGTAAGTGGACCCTCTTTCCAGAATGTTCCAGGGCAGGAATTCAGAGTTTAGAATAACAGGAAAGAGCTCTGAGAGTTGCCAAAAACATTATACATATCATAGAGGGACAATGGGTAAAGCTGTGTTTTTTACCTAATAAAGAGTCTCGTTACTGCACAGTTTGTCTGCCATTTTAAGACGTGGCATGTTCAGTGTTATAAAAAATCAAATGTAGGGAGAGGCAGTTAGTTCCCTCTTCGAGTGAGAGACGGGGGGAGCTCTCCAATCATCCACTGACGGGTGAAAATGCCCTTTAAAGAAGACTAAATTCTTTAATTGATATGCCTTTGACTTAATATCTTCAGTCATTTTTAATCTGGAACAGAAGTGTCCTGTCCTAGCATTCTGTTATTTGATCCCTTTGTAAATATTTCACCTTTTATTTTTCTTTAAATAAATATCATTTTTAATCAGTCTAATCAATTATTACTTTATCTGAGGGAAACAAAAATGTCTTAAAAAACGAATGGGACTTGGGAGCTGTAGTCCTCCCTGGCAGAGCAGAGGAAGCATACCTGGCCAGGTAAGCAACTTTTTAAGCTTGTTTCTGCTCTGTCAGGAGAGGGACAGCGCCTAGGTGACTGGTAAGGCAATAAAAAGTTACCGAAGAAGAATCTGTGAAACCCTAAATTAAACAAAACTACGTCAGTGGCTGGTTCGAAGGGAAAATGAGGCTGTGAGAGTTTGTGCTTAGCAAGGAGAGAGTGACTGCAAGTGTGTGTGTCTGTGAAGTCCTAAAAATAGAACCGGAGGCTGCAAATGAGAGAAACAAAAAACCAGCATGCTGTGAGGAAGAGATTTAAAAATGAGACAAATAGAAATATAAAACCTTATCATGTAATCCTATTTTTTTTTTCTCTCTTTTACGTCAACCATGCTGGTTTTTATTTCTCTCTCTCTCAGACTTTTCGAATTAATTTGCCCTAATAAATGGAGATGTCATTATATAGTAGTTTATAGTCAGAGGTATTATTAGATAAATTGCTGCAGGATCACGGTAAAAGGCACGGTCCTTCTTAAATAGAACGATGAAATTATTGGGACGATAGCGCGCGCTGGCTTTGCAGTAACCTTAAAAATAGGACTGCTGTTGAAGGCACCTTAGTCACAAGGTAACATAAATAGTGATCAAATCAGTGGTTAGTTATATTGGTAAGGGCATATAATTGTCAGACAATAGTAAGAATATATTGAGAACCTCATAAACTTTCTGTACAGTGTAAATAGCTGAAATGACATCATTTTATAAGTTTTTTCCTGCTAAGGGTGTGGCTGTAGTTTTACTGACAGGAGATTTTTTTCTACAGAAAGAAGAGTGTAATTTAAAAATTAGTGCTTGATTAAAGAAAGAAAAGCTGTATTTTATGTAAATTTTATGTAAGTTGTTTAACTGTTCTTTAGTGGAGTTTTGGTTTGATTGGGTTTTCTCTTTAAATGTAAAATCTGCGACGTGTGGTTTGGAATGTGTGTGTGTGTGTTTTTACTACTGCGTTTATTTGTGTGTTTGATTTGGGCCTGATTAAACTGTTAGTTTAGTTGATGTTTAAGACTGTGGCATGTGTTGTCTTTAGGACTTTTAGGGTTGGCTCCGTTCCACAGTGAAAATAATTTGGTGCTTGCCAAGACATCTGTCTAATGTACAGGAGAGGATGAGGGTTGTGTGAATGTGTTGACTGACTGTATAGATTAACTAGTTTTCAATGTTTGCCTTATAATAATTTCTGTAGGGTAAGATGTTATGGAGTAGAGAGCAGAGAGGGTTTAAAACAGTCAGAGGGGATCAGTTGAGAGGTTCGTGTATTTAAAATCAGGCAGGCTTGGAGAGGAAACCGTTAGCTGGAGGAGCTAAAAGAGAAGAGCCAGAGTGCAGACATCAGGGAGGGATCTTGATACATGTTCTGGGTTTTTGTGCATGCATTCAGAATAGAGGGAGAAAGAAAAAGAGTATTTGTAGTTCAACAACGGCTAAAGGAGAGATTGGCCGCATTTTGATAAATCTGTTCTTAATATGCATGTTGTCACATGATGTTAAGGAGAGGAGCAGAGCTGATTTGACTGCATTTGTGTGCTTTTGTGTAAAAATGGCGCTTAAAGCTAAGTTAAGGTAAATTTACGAGTGTGCCTTCTTGAAACTACAGCCGATGTGTAGATTATTAAGTAGTGTGTGTTGCCTGTCGTGCATTTTGAATGCTTTTTGTAATGAGTCATGTTAACTTTGAGGTGTCCGAGATGTTTTGTTAAGAATTTTAGAAAGTAGCATTCACAGTTAAAAAGGACGTAATCCTTGTAAAGTATTTGTTCTGGACATTCATATGACGCTACAGACCCAGACCCTGCAGAGCTCTCTGTAGAGTGTGTTAACGTTAACTTCCTGTTGGTCTCTTTTGATTAAGTTGTTTTGTTAAGAGTGACTGTCGAAAGATCCGGAAAGGTAATTTGTTTGATGTAAGAAGTAAAGAGACAAACGTAGTGCTTGAAAGTATGTCCAGCATGATTGTAGTCAGCTGACATTTTTGTATTTCCTAGCTTATTTGGACCATGGCCAGCCCCTACTGGCCTGATGTAACAAGTAGTGCTCAGATAACTGAGGTTGGACAGTATTTACAATGGTTATTGATTAAGACATTTTAAAATAATTGCAATTAGTCACCTCATTAGGTTAAATAAGATTTACTCTAATTAATCTTAGGGTCTAAATGTCTTAACTCTCAGTTTAAGGCGGACAGACTCCTTTTAGAACTACTATCTTTTACCTTAGGTTAAAGGAAAATTTCATACCCAGACTAGATGGGACAGATGCCAAAGAAGTCCCCCCTACTGGAGACATCTAGACATCCCTTGTTTGGGCTTAAGAGTCCATTTCCAGTTCGGTTAACAACCTACGTTTGTCTGCAGTGTTTAAAATTAGTGATTAGTTATGCAATTACCATTTAAGATAAATAAGAGAGGAAGGTTCCTAGATTAGGTCTCCATTTAGCCATCTTCATTCACCAGTGTGAGTTGACGCCCACATATTAACCAGGAGTTTAAAAATAGATAAGCAATTACATGAATTCAGATATTAGCTGACAACCTAATGCAGACAATGAAGAAGATCCAGAATCAGGTTGTGATGTGAATTAAAGTGGTAAAATTATGACTGAATGATTTAACTATTGTTTTTTAGGTTGTATTTAAGGAAACCTTGTTGCAGTATCTAATGAATCAGTCTTCTGTAAGTTCATTGGTTGCGTTTATGAATTCAGTTTCCATTTAGGTCTCGGGATTTGAGCCTGAAGGATCGACTTCGTGTTTCAGTCATATGATGCGATCTAAGTGTTACTAAACTACTTGTCAAGTAATGACTCCGATGTTGGCCCAAGTTAAAGATAAGTGATTAGAATGAGCGCCAAGAAAATGACAAGCCTCTCCGATAGAGGCTGTTTCCCTGCATGCTTTGCATCAAGGCATGTGGGATGTTTCAACGGTTCCCTGATTAGTGATTGTAATTTCCTACATAGAATGTTCATATAGAGTACAAGAACAAGTTTAGAAGACAATTCTTAAAGCTACGGTTTACAAAGTTTAAGAAAAGGATAACAAGCCTTGATCTTTTAACCACAGATTATAAAAGAAACTTTTACTTTAGCCATGTCTTTTTTGTATAATCCAGTTTAACTTTAAGGTATATATTCTACAGCGGTGTCATTACTGTGCCTACTAAGGGTTGAACTCTTGTATGAGACCCATAGCATTTTAGCATGAGAAGGGTCACATGTAGTGATGTCATACTTTTGATGGTTGGCGATTGAGGAAGTTAGAGATGGTCTCGGATTATGTGCAAACAAGTGAAATCTGCAAAACAGTATATCAGTGGTAAGAATGAAAAGAATAATAGTCTGTTTAAATTTAGGTAACCCCCAAAATATTTATTGAACATTGTACATTTCATTATAGTTAAGTTAGTCTTACATTGAGTTAATTTATGAATAATCAGTTCACCCGATCTTTCTGATAGATTTAAACGATGATATAATGAGTTGCCTGCTTTACATGTATCTTGTTCTAGTTAATTAGTTAACCAGGTTGTCAACCCATCTCAGAGAAATTCTCATTTGACTAATGTTCACGGTTGAAAACAAACTCCCCTGACACAAAGAGTGATTAATTGGCTGCTGAAAACAGGTGACTTTCCAGTTGCTTGGTTGTTCTGCATTCTGGACTGGTTTGGTTTATTCCAGAGAAATTAAGCATTTTTATATCAAATTCCTAACATCTTTGCAACGCAGTGAGGCAGACCGCCTGGCCCACAGACTGAGAGAATGGGGTATTAAGAAGATGCATGGGGGGGCCCAGAAGGAGATTCTGAATACTGACTGTGTGGAATTCAGGAGTTATTTTGTTGGTGCTTTTTTTCAGCACCAAAAGGGGGAAATTTGTGGAATATCGCCAGCTGAACTTCACAGAATCTGTACACATAAATGTTCACATATAGTTTAAAATCAGTTTAGTATCTGACACAGCAGGTCATTCGAGGACAGAGAACTTTTTTTAAACTAGGTTGTTTGAAAACAGGAGTGCACGGGCAGTAAGTGGACCCTCTTTCCAGAATGTTCCACGGCAGGAAATCGGAGAATAACAGGAAAGAGCTCTGAGAGTTGCCAAAAACATTATATCATAGAGGGACAATGGGTAAAGCTGTGTTTTTTACCTAATAAAGAGTCTCGTTACTGCACAGTTTGTCTGCCATTTTAAGACGTGGCATGTTCAGGGTTATAAAAAATCAAATGTAGGGAGAGGCAGTTAGTTCCCTCTTCGAGCGAGAGACGGGGGGAGCTCTCCAATCATCCACTGACGGGTGAAAATGCCCTTTAAAGAAGACTAAATTCTTTAATTGATATTCCTCAAAAGAGAAAACCTTTTGAAGAATATTTAATATCTTCAGTCATTTTTAATCTGGAAGTGTCCTGTCCTAGTATTCTGTTATTTGATCCCTTTGTAAATATTTCACCTTTTATTATTATTTAAATAAATATCATTTTTAATCAGTCTAATCGATTATTACTTTCTCTGAGGGAAACAAAAATGTCACCACAAGTACTTTTTCATACGAGCCGCAGTCCACCATGAGCAGGCTGCGGTCCTGGACTCATTAAGTAACATTAAGTGAAAGGCTGCAGCTCGTTCAGTCAGCATCTGTCCACGCAGAAGGACAGAAAGATCAGACACATCCCGTCCGTCCTCACAAAGCTCCAGTGTTGCCTTCAGGGTGCGTCTGACAGAACAGAGACGCTGTTAGAGTCAGAACAGGCGTTTCACTTTACTCACACACACATGAAGTCTGAACAGTCTGTCTCCCTCTGCAGGTGCAACACATCATGGCAAACCGTCAGTGCACATTTGAGATTGTCAACAAGAGTTCACCTTCTGTAACCCGCAGTGAGTTTGTTTCTCTTTGTGTGTTCTGACATCATGGAAAGCTTTTTTAAATGTTTATATGAGAGTATTGATATCAGCTGCAACACATCCTGGACTGCTGTCTGTACTGGATGATGTGAAATGAAACTGATGCGTTTCTGATATGTAGAAAACATTTGACTCTCTCACAGTGTCAAAGTCTTGACGTCTCTTCCCTGTCCGCCTCCTCAGGGTGTTCACTTACAGTGGAATCTATGAGAAGCCGTTGTCACCAACTCTCGGCCCCTCTGAATCTGGCAGCGCTCTGTTCATCAAGACTTCGAACACAGCATGTGGGGCTGTTGGAGTCCTCACCTATGATCTGCAGAACAAATCCACAGAGAAATGTGATGGAAAAATAGCCGTCATGTACTCCGTTCCTTATGACTACAACTTCTACTCTAACATGTACGCAGTGGGAGTCTTTGATGTGGATACAAAGTGTGATTATGACCTTTATAAAGAGATGTATTATGGGGCGGGGTCAATGTTTGTCAGAGGTAAAGCTAAAGACAGTCTGACTTACAAAGGCAAAGATGTCACCATCAGAGCCACCATGACAGACAGTAAGACATCTGTCATCAAGGTGCACGTGTCCAACGGAAATATGAAGCTTTCTTAAACCCTTCAGACCTTCTTCCATGAACCAGTAATCCCAGTTGGCCCACAAAGACAGAAAGTTTTTTTTTCTTCATCATTCTCATTGTCTTCCATTTAGCTAGGGTGATTTTGGTTTTCCTAACAGAGGACAGTGGGGGCAGGAGGCAGACGGACACCGTGGTGGCAATGTGTACTGCAGAGGCTCTACTATCTACTAAACTAGTATAAATTAGTGTACGAGTACAATATAGTAACATTAAATAAAAAGTTGAATGTTAGTATAATACCAATATATCTGTAGCTTTCTCTGTATTTGGCTAATGTCACAGTGTTTATAGTCTATTTGTAACATTTCAACAGCTTATTGAGATTAACGGATTCACTAATGGAACAGTTTTCTGTCACGTTAAGGTTTGACTTGTGCTAAAGTTACATTAGAATTTCAGATAACAGTATCCTATATAGCGTACCACTAGTGTAATATTAATTCCAGTTCCAGCAGTTTCGTTACGGTTCGTTGTTCTCGTTCATTAAATCCTCGTGCGAGAAAAAAAGCTAACTTGTCACTAATCAGAACCGTTCGTGCAGAACGAGTTCAACATTTGGAAAGTTTGCCGTAGCACCACGTCAACCTTTTTTCATGTCCCGCCTCTCTGCTCCTGCTTCCAGTGTTTATGCTGAGCTACACTGTGAAAGATGAAACTGTACTTGATTTGATTGTTATTGATCATAAATGATGTTTCTCTAGCACTGCAGCTCATCTATGCAGCTTCTTTCTGAAATAAAGTCGGGCCTTAAAGCAGTCCTTCTGTCCTGGTCTCTGTCTCCAGTCACACTAGGCTGCAGCTTTACTTTAGCTTGTTGTCCTTGTTTTACTGTGTCTACTCCAAGTACACAGAGAGCTGTAGTACTGTGGTCACAGTCCTTGTATATTAAAGCTGATTCAGATTCCTGTAGGCTACACGCCTCTCCTAAGTGACCCACCGCCCCCCTAACAGATCCTCAATGTTGAGAGTCTGTTGGTCAGGGCCGGCCCTGACATTGCTGGAGCCCTAGGCGAGATTTTTACCCCCATGCCCAATCCTAAAAAGTCCACTGCAGCACTTAAATGCTCTGTATTTGTAGAGCGCCTTTCTAATCTTTGACCACTCAAAGCGCTTTTACACTAAATCTGCATTCACCAGTCATTCACTGAGCCTAAGTGCTCAAACGGAAACTAGCATTCACACACATTCATACACTGGCGGAACAGCCGCCAGGGGCAATTCGGGGTTCAGTATCTTGCCCAAGGACACTTCGACACGCAACCAGGGGGAGCCAGGGATTGAACCGCCGACCTTCCGACTAACGGCCAACCCCTGAGCCACACAGGTCATCAATCCTCTACTCACAATTGTTTTAAATGTTCAGCAGCCAAACTCACAATTTTAGCATGTATAGATGAACAGCCAAGTCAGTAATCATGGTCAATAAGGAATAAGTGTGGTCAGTATACTTGTCAACCTCATCATAGCCTAAATTTGGAGGCCACACCTCTATGCGTCCTCCATAAACTGTGTGTCAACCCAGAGACTGTTTTTTTCCCCTTATGGGGTAGATCTCTCGAAATGCAAGAGCATTTATTTAGTTTCAATGGTGGAGGGGATACAAATGAAGAGTAGGGTCTCAGGGTCCTTCCCCAGAAAATTCTTGTACTCTATGAAGATTCATCTCTAGTTTTTCTGTACTCTGAAAAAAAAGATAATTTCTTGTCTTAATTGCCTTTAAAATATTGTTGTTCAGTTCTAGTCTTAATTTGCACCATCTTTTCAGGAGCAAAGCTCCAAACAACCTCTAAAAAACAATGGTTTAGAAATTTCTCATGCTTTATACATATCTCTAAGATTCAATACCTTAGACCAATCTACTTTGGATAAACTAAGGGTAAAATGGTTATTATAATTTTTTAGAGAACTGACTTTCATATAATTGAACACTGTTTTCTGAGCTTTCCTGGTACAAAAAAAAAGTCCATATTTTAAAAAGGTCAATAGACTGTGGTGTGTTCCTTTATCAACTGATACAAATCAAAGAGACAGAAATTTTTAAAAGATTTAAAAACAGGCATATTCTTTTTTTTTTTTTATATATCTGTATTAAGGTCACCAATCATAATTACCTCCGATACTTCCTGACACACACACACACACACACACACACACACACACACACACCCACCCACCTACCCCTCAGCGTCTTTAATGGAGCTATCAAACCAAGTTTCAAGGAAGCACATCACTCTCACCTTATATTTTTTTGCAAGCAGACATCTGATGTTGATGGAGAATGTCCAGTCCTATTTTAAAGAACAATTTGTCCATTTGTACGATTTCTATATCGTTTTGTGACATCATGCGGACCATCGCCGTATATTTATGGCTTGCCCACCACGGTCTTTGTCATTCCCTCACAGTCTGTGGTCTGTAGTGAGCCAGCCATCGGGGTTCTCATGTCCTGGATTTACACTGATGACTCCACCGATGGTCTCCGACAGACAGCAGTCATTCCTCCTCGGATGGATGGATGTTAGTTATAATTAAATCCTCACCTTTAGTTGAACATATTCCGATCTTGACGTTTTCTTTTGAAATGTACAGGGAGGGGTAACAGAACGAGTTAAGTAAGGCATTCTTTCCAAATCCAAGTGTTTTTTCGTAGGAGTGATGTTTCATTACAGATTTACGACCACTACTCTTCTATAAGTGTGAGCAGTTTGGGATGTGTTTTTAAGCATTAAACAATACACTGAGCGTGCCACCAACGTGCCAAACTTTCCTGCCGCCATGATGCTGCTCCTCCTCCTTATTACCATTATTGATATGTACATGTCGGAGGTGGATGTGATATTCAGGTGCACATACAAGCATACATGTACACAGTGTGATGAGTGCAAAGAATGCTAGAATAAATAAGTATTATGTGTGGTGTTATGTACATGCGGTGGATTTGGTATGCAGTATAAACAATATAAAATATTTGAAATAAGTGTTAACAGCTCTGAAAGAGAGAATGATGAATAAATAACAGTAAACAGGTGCTGATTAGAGGCAGAGTTACTGGGTTATTGCACAGGAAATGTTCCTGCCACTGTGAGTCAGAGTCAGCTGTTCATCAGAGTGATGGCTTGTGGGGAACTGTCCCCGAGTCTGTTGGTTTTGGCGTACAGTGCTCTGTAGAGCCTACCAGAGGGGAGGAGCTGGAACAGGTCGTGTCCGGGGTGAGATGGATCTGCGGTGATGTTTCCTGCCAGTTTCCTGACTCTGGAAATGTAGAAGTCCCGACTGTCCATTGTAGTCTGCTCCTGTCCATTGACAGACAGACAATCTAAGGGGCCAGCTCAGTTGTAGGAAATTGAGTTTCATACCTGTGTTAAACACAGGGGGCCATCGTCCCTTATAATGACTCACCCGTACGCACCTCTATTTTTTGGGTAAAGAAAATCCATGAGGAGACTTAACCTACAGAGTGGCATTTTGTTCAGGACCTTCAGGTGGTCAACATGGCCTAGTTTCTACATAATGAATGAAAAAAAAAGATCATCTTGGGGGAAAAATTCTCACAAGTACTTAACTGAAAAAATGCCTTTTCAGAAAGGTCAAAAAAGGGGTTTTAAATGAAAACAAACCAATAAATAAATGTGGGAGCCCGAAGACAGCAGGTTACTGTGGGGCAGGAATTATTTGATCCAGTGCCACCAGGCCTGCCTCGCTTTAGGCACTAATGACTCCATATCCACATATCCACACACAGCTAAAGAGTCTCAAGAGGTCGTAAAGGACCGAGCTCCAGGCTGACTTTGTCTGTGAAACTGAGATCTGCACCACATGGAGGAGAGTTCGCAAGGGTGGGCAGGTATGTCCCTCTTCTTAAGCCTTCCAGGATGGGCGTTGTCACACCCAGCTTGGCCCAGAGGGAATCACCCAGCTGTACTCCATCACTGCTGAGGAGTCAGTCCCCACAACCGTGCAACAGGTGCTCTGAATGATCCTCTAATCAAGAACCAGGGGAATGTTGCGAGCAGCAAATACAGACGGACTGCTACAGCATGATAACACTGCATCCTGAATGTCTTGACAACAAATTATCTGTACCATAGAAAAATGGGAAACAATCATCATAAACAATTGTAACCTAACCACACCTGATAAAGACCTGTCAGTCTTGTGCTCACAGCTCGGAACCTGCTGAGTTCTGGATCCAGGATGTTGATGTACCAGGTCACTGTAACGATGTGATCACAACAGTCTCTGGTTTCCGTTGCTGGTCAACATGAATCCCATTTTGTCCAGACCGGCTCTTTAGGAGCAGAATTAAGTCCAAGCTGGACCAGAAAGACTCCTATTCTGGCGCCTGTTGTTTGGGACAGGTGGATCGTGGTCCGCTGCTCTTTAAACCAAAAAACCCGTATTCATCTTCCAATGACTGTATTCATGTCAGAGGTAGCTCGTGTTTTGGCAATAAAGCGGAAAAACAGAAAGTGTAGCGAAGTTTGAAGGAGGTGCTGGCTGCTGCCTCTTCAAGTTCTGCTGGTGTTATTCAGGCTTTTGAAACTTAAACTTTGTTGCAATATCGCAAACATCTGGGGCAAATAGTGGACTGCTGTGTGTGTGAGAGAGAGAAAGTGTTGGACCACGTAATGAGCAAAGTCTCTCTCGTTAGGTTTATTTTAATCACTTCCAGTAACGTTGGTTATACTACAAACCCCCACAAAGCTCAGATTATAACTGTAATCCAGCTCCCACAGTTTTTCATATTAAATTCAGCTGATGGTAAAATTCCATAGTACATATTACTCTTCAAAGGGAAATTATGAATGAGAAGTGTGTGTGGTTTGTTTTTTTGGAAAGACTGGAAGAGAGGCTGCCACACTGCTCATAATATTCAGCCTCACCTAAGAAGTCAACTGGAAATCCTCCAACAGTGCCCCCCCTGCGGCTCTACCACCTTCCTATCAAAAGTTATTCAGGTTGCTCAGCTGAGCGATGCTAGCTCCCCATTCCTGCCTGCTTCCTAACCCCAGCCACTCGGGGACCAATGTGACCAAGGTGCCCCGAGTGATGATAGTCAGTGAAGCCTTGTAACCGCAAGGTGTAGGCTTCAAGCTTCAAGCACCACGGTCTGGTAGAAGCGCTGCCTCCCTTGCAGCTGTAAGGTTCCAAGTTCAAGTCCAACTCTGTCTGCTGCGTCCAGTCCAGAAGATCCAGTATTCCTGTCCCTGGCCTCCCAGGGAGCAGCCAGTTCCTATGAAAATCCTACTTGGATCCAATGGGCTGGATAGCACATCAGATCAAATGGAAATCCTCCCCCGAGTCCAACGGTGCCACCCCCACAGTTCTGTGTCCTTGCTATCAAGAGTTACTCCAAAATGGCCCATCTCAAGGGGGTTTCCTAAGCCTAAAATCCAGAGACAAAGACCGGAATCAATCACTACAAAGCTGAACTGGACTGAAGCAGCACCCACACTGTGACCCTGATCGGCCTTTAATTTACACATACATACATACATCAGTGTGCTGTTTGTCATACTAATGTTGACATGATTGAGAATGGAACAGATGTTAAAACGGTCATTTTTAAAGCTCCTCTGTAGGATTCTTCACCATAGCAATGACAGGACTTGTACTTGTCGTGGAGTAACCGTTAAATAGTACAGCAGATAAGCATGAAAATCTTTCAAATGTGAAGAAGTACCAAAATTTGACTGAGTATACCTCTTGGGTCATTCGTAAATTTCAAAATCGATGCCGTTTTTAAAGATGGCTGTAA